TTTTTATCCTATGCGTATACTAACAATAATATCACCCGTGCTACTGCTCTTAAATTGAGTAATCATGTTAGCTCATTATCCTTAGACAACCCCACAAATTCTTGATAATCAGTCCACATTCGACAGAATATAATTTGCAATTATCACCTTCCATATNTATATATATATATATATATATATATATATATATATATATATACATAATACAATTTTACTACAATTTCGTAAATATAATGTATATCATGTCTTCTTTAAATATAATTTTTATAGAATATTGTTCAACTTTCATACAATAACTAACTAACCAACTATATATATATATATATATATATATATATATATATATATATATATATATATATATTACGATATTCCGTTGCATCAGAGAGAGGAGCACCCTTGTATGCAGAGAGCTTTAAGCCAGACGCAAGGGGTGTGGGACATGGCTTGGAGTCTTGCAAATGAGTTCGAGTAATTCCAAGGTGTATTTAGTCTGAGTCAAGGCTAGAGAAGTTGATGTACGTTTGACTTCGATTCTTAAGAAAGAAATGAAGATCACCAAGATTTTTCATGGCGAAGTGCGTACCTAGTCGCTGAATGAAAGAAGGGGGGGGGGGAGCTGAAAGCCACTCTTTAGTAGGGTTCGACTTTTTCCATTATTCCAAATAATAAAATAATATAAAGAAAGAAGTTGTTTTTTCTGTCCTGTAGCACAAGGGTAGAAGGAAGCCTAGAGGCAAGGGTCCAACTCTTCCTGAAATTGCGCTTAGTCTTGCTACCTCTTTAGTTGCCGCCCCCTAAAAGTCAGTGCTTGCTGCAGACCGATGAACGTGGATTATCCAGTATTGAGCAGCGGTCTAGCATCCTTACGCCTTCTACTAGTCTAAGCCACACTGGGACTGAGAGTGCAGGCATTCCCGTTTGAATGAAAAAGGTACGAAGTAGCTCGGTGTCGGCTCTGCTTGTTGGCGGAGGATGAAAAGATCTGCGCCTTTCTCCCCCTGTGATTATGGCTCGCCCGCTCAGTCTAGTACCAAAGCACCCCGGTTCAATACCCGGGAGTAGAAGAGAGAACTCCTCTTTCTCATAAGTAGTGCCTCTCCTTCTCTACTACCGTAGTTGTCGGAAATAGCGAATTTTACTTCTTTTCCCCGAGAGACTTTATTTCTTTTTTGAATTTCCTCAGTTCGGATTCTTGTCTGCGGTGGTCGAACCTGAGAGGGCAAAGGTAGGGCATCGGGACTTTTTCCTTTCCTTGTATTGTATTAAATAAAAGCTAAAGCACTTTCTTTTAAGAATGTATCTGGTTCCATCTTTCTTTCGTTAGTTAAGCCACCTTTTTCTAAAAAGGATTGTAGTAATTCTGGTTTGACACTATTTGGAATGGCTCTCTCATATTGAGAAATTCTGTCTAGTGGCATTCGATCACAGAATCCATTGACAGCTGCATAAATGACTAGAATTTGTTTTTCAATTGGCAGTGGTGCATATTGTGGTTGTTTCGGTACTTCTGTCAGCCTTGCACCTCTATTGAGTAATGCCTGAGTCGCAGCATCAAGGTCTGAGCCAAATTGAGCAAGGGCGGCCACTTCGCGATATTGTGCCAATTCCAGTTTTGAACTACCGCAGACTTGTTTCATAGTTTTCAACTGAGCGGCAGACCCGACGCGACTGACAGATAAGCCGACGTTAATCGCAGGTCTAATTCCGCGATAAAAGAGCTCTGTTTCCAAACAGATTTGTCCATCAGTAATGGGGATCACATTGGTAGGAATATAGGCTGATACGTCTCCAGCTTGTGTTTCAATGACGGGTAATGCGGTCAAGCTACCTGCGCCTGTCTGGTCCGATCGTTTAGCAGCTCTTTCGGCTTATTTTACAAACATGTTCTTTTCTCGATGCCTATACACTTTCTTGCATGGATTCCAGTTTCAAAGGGAGTTCTTGCCAGTTGGAAAAAATATTAGCTAACTTTTGGTGAGGTGGTGATGAAGACAAAAGAAAGCTTCACTGGATATTTTTTGATACTATGTGCCTACCTATTCAGGAAGGGGCTTTGGGTCCTCCTATTACAAGACATTTTCAAAAGCTTTCAAAAGCTTTTCGTATGAAGTTTACTTGGTCAATAAGAGGGGGGTACTTTCAATATATATATATATATATATATATATATATATATAAACAACATAATACAATTTTTCTACAATTTTACTACAATTTCGTAAATATAATGTATATCATGTCTTCTTCTTCTTCTTCTTCGAGTTTCAATCTGATCAGCCGAAATCAAGTCTAATCTTAACCAAAACACCCTCAAAATTGAGATATAAACTCCAAACCATATTCCCAATTGTTTGCAACAACACCCAATTCAAACAAATAATGGTTTTTGAAAATCCAAATTTGAATTCAAACCTTCAAAGCATTTTAATGGCTGTCAATGGTGGAATTGTTGCTCTCTTTTTCTTTGTTTTACATTACTGAAATTAGGGATTGAGAGATAGATAGAGACTTAGAGAGAATTCTCAATTCTTTGCAATAACACCCAATTCAAATAAATGATGTTTTTTGAAAACCCAAATTCGAATTCAAAGTTTAAAGCTTTTTAATGCTTGTCAATGGTAGAATTGCTGCTCTCTTGTGCAAGATACGTGGGGGAGGAGGGGTGCGTTGTGGAGAGAGAAATGTGGGGGGGGGGGGGGGGGGGGAATGGAAGATACGTTAGAGTGATTTTTTTAGGACACTAATTATTATCAGTAATTCCCTTAAAATGTACATAAATGGTAATGAGGTATATAATATGTAATTATAGTAAAATTTGAGTAGGAAGGGTAATATAATTTCATATAGTGTATAGGAATGTAAAAATTTCATTTAGAAAAGAATGTGAGTGGCCTGTTTCATATTTGCTTTTGATAGAGAATTATAGTCCCTCCTTCCATTCTTGTTTATGTGACTTTATTTTTCTGTAATTTGTTCCCAAAAAAAAAGGTCTCTATCTATATTTGGAAACAGTTAAATTGAAGTTTTTATTTTACTTTTAGTGACAATTTTCTTTAGCCACACAAACGTTATGCATTTTTTAATTAAGAACGCAAATATTAAGTCTTATAGCCACAAAAATGTAATGTTATGTTTAAAATCACAAATTTCAAAAGTTTTATGGCTATACAAATGTTACGTTTAAGACCACACTATAAGTTTCAAAAGTTATTCTTTTATTAAAACTTTGTGCACAATAAAAAAGGGTTGTAGCATTTTACTTACTTTTTTATTGTAGGTTACCTGTTTGTATAAGTATGATTTTCACTGCCGATGTACATAACTTAAACTTGTGTGATCATTTCACTGTTAAGCATGGAGCTAAGCTATATATAAAAAAGTTTTACATTATCCGTGCAATTTTATCTTTTATAGTATAACTAGTTCCAACTATTAAATATGGTGAGCTATTCAGTGTTGCACTACAAAAGACCAGAAAATGTAAGTTTTTTTTATGTTGTATTATAAATAACCTGATAATATAAGTTTTTTTTACTTTGTGTATGTATAAAAGTTTAACTCACCAAATATTCGGTACAATACAAATGAAGAGAGTGTCAGTCACAAGGAAAACTTCGAGTGGAAGAGGGTACTAGACAATCAATTCCAAGTGCAGTTCTACATAATGGGTCCGTAAGGTGAAGTTGGTGCCACCTTACATACCAAATATATAGTATGAAGCAATTCCTTGGAAAAAAAGGGGAAGAAATCCTCATAATAAAATATAATGGATAAATTAGGACAAAAAGAAACTATTGGTTGAAGTATGGAACTTATCTGGACAGCACTTCATTAAAGAAACAACCCAAAATCCATAGCATGAGTACTGAACATACAGCACGACCTCCCTCCAATTATATCACCATAAGCTTAAGTGACCTGCACATGATCACCACTTTTATCACGTGCTTTACACTTCTAGGATTTTACATTATATCCACCCTACTTGTCCTATCCCTGAAGTCAAGTTAAAGGCAAACTTCCACATCCTGGCCTACATATATCACATGAATAATTTTTTGTATCCACCTACTGTTTTACCTTCATTAATTGTTTTCTTGGAATTTTATTGAGATTGAACAAAAAATCATTGAATGTCTGTCATTAAGCTCAATTAGCTGTATGTAATGATATGATCTATAATAGACTCTGCAGTCCAGTGAAGATGTGTTAAGAAATTAATAGTACTTAAGCCTATGTCTGCCTACATTAACCCCAAAAAACAAGTTCATGAAATAAGAATGGTCCAAGATATCATATAATAAATCACAGCTTAATCCTTCACTCCGATGTGGAATAATAATCTAACATGCCCTAATTGAAATATTTATGAGATGGCTATAGTACTGAACTGATCGGACACTAAAATGTCCAAGAAACACCGAATAAGCCAAGACAACAGATCTTGTGTATTTATCCCGCAAAAGAATGAGAAGTGGAATTATCCACTCTCAATAGCGACAACATCGATGGCAAAGAGCAATATAATGCATGTCTTGCATTATTCTTAATTACGCTGTAAAAGTTGCGCCGCCTTTGTAACTTTATGTAATTGAACCCACGTGATTAAGATTATTGTAATGAACATGCAAAGAAACTGTTTAAGTAGTTTGGCTGGGAAAGAGAATATTTTCTATCTTCATTAAGTGAAGAACGACGAATAAAAGATAAAAAATACTATAATTGAGCATGAGTTAGACAAAGAGAACGTGAGTGGGGACAAAATTGAATAGGCAGGAAGTTGAGTATAGTTTACTACAGTCCCCAGTAGTTCTCTTTACATTCCTTTTGCTTGCAGCCTTTGGAAGAGCTTAGTTTACTGTCTGTTGTCATGTGGGGACTTTGTCTGTTTTCTTAAGCTTTTTACAAGTTATGCACAGAAGCGCAGGCATTAGAATAGTATAAATATGGGCTGGATATGAATGTCTCTACATGCAATCTCAAGTAAGCCATTGAAGATGGGTTTTTGGACGATACTTTTATTATTACTTGCAACGGTGCTAAGCTCATATTTGGCTGAAGGGAAATTTGTGGATCATAAGCCAATCAGGGATAGAGTTGCTGAACTTAATGGAAGTAGCTCCATAAGTCAGATGTCGCATGCATTAGCAATTCGGGTTCCAGATGCCAATGCAAGGAACAGTACAACTTCTGCTAGTGAAGTCATGGTGAATATTGAAACTGCTGGAAAAAATAGGGGTCAAGGAGGTGGATGTGGCAGTGGTGGTGGAGGAGGAGGAGGCGCAGGAAGAAGTGGAGGGGGAGGAGGAGGAGGTGGCGGAGGAGGAAGTGGAGGGGGCGGTGGAGGAGGAGGAGGCGCAGGAGGAAGTGGAGGTGGAGGAGGAGGAGGTGGCGGGGGAGGAAGTGGAGGGGGCGGTAGAGGTGGAGGAGGAAAGGGAAGTGGAGGAGGAGGAGGTGGTGGCAGTGGTGGAGGAAATGGAAGAAGTAGAGGGCATGAGAGAAGACGTGGCAAAGGAAGTGGTGGAAGTAAGGGAAGAGCTGGGGGTGGTGTGGGCGGAGGAGGAGGTGGAAGAGGAGGCGGTGGAGGCGGCGGAGGCGGAAGCGGAGGCAAAGGCGGTGGGGGTGGTGGGGGAGGAGGTGGAGGTGGAGGTGGAGGTGGAGGTGGAGGTGGTGGTGGCGGTGGCCGAGGTGGAGGCTGGGGTTGGGGTTGGGGAGGAGGAAGTGGAGGTGGCAGCGGAGGAGGAGGAGGAGGAGGAGGAGGAGGAGGAGCTGGTGGTGGTGGAGGAAACCAGGGCAATTGCTGGGGATGGGAATGTTGGGATCATCCTCCGCCAGGCAACTAAGAGCTCTTGCATACATGATCAACTTATTCAGCACTTCTTTCTTTTTTCGTAAAACCAGAAAGTTGTTACTAATAAGCTATTGTTTGGTTGTGACACTCATTTCATCACTCGCAATATTTTTGTTACAAAGAGTTCTATTAGAAGTCAAAAGAATTGATTGCTGTGGACCAGTAATGGAATATTGTCCATGCTCTCTGCTGTGTGTTTGAAGTACTAATTTTGTAATGAAATTTTAGACTCTTTGAATTAATTGCATGTGTTACTTAATTGTCATTTTTTCCCTCTGGATGTTTGTTCCATATCATGATATAATTATTACCATATAAATTTTTTTTCCATCGTGTTAGATATTAATTCATACGCTAGAAATAATGTATCATCATCTAACAAGTGTTTTTACCACATTGTTTAATTAATTCCACTTATGGACGACTTTGTAATTTGTAGAACATCAAATATATAGGTAATTTGGATTCAATTGACATACTTAGGCTTTCAAAACGAAGCCAAATTTGGTATTTTCCTTGTTATAACGATGAAAAATTTAAATTCTTGCTAAATAAGTAAATATAAAAACTTTTTTTTTTTTGGTAAAACTGTAAATCATACCATTAACTCACAAAATAGTACACCTAAAGAGCAACCATTTTCCTCATCCAGGAAGGATAGACCACCGACAAATCAAGTAACTTCTAATTACAATGTATTTTGTGCATTAAACTAATGCAGTGTTTGGCTTTCCTAGAGTTCTGAAATCTTTCTAGTCTATATATGGTCTCTCTTTTAATTTGTACCAGCACTATCTCAGTATTTACAGTTGTTTCTCTAAAGATTTTTCAACTCCTTGCTCTCCATACATGGTATATCACTGCTTCCCAAATTGCTGCTATTAGTTCCTTTTGGAATTGTTTTTTGTCTCCTCTTAATCTCTTCAAGAACAGCATGAACTTCTCCTTTCCTTATGTGATCCCTGTCCATTGCTGGATGCCTTCTCGCACATTCCTTATCCAATCACATTCTGCAAATAAGTGCATGGAAGTCTCCATAGCTTGTTTGTCACAGAGGAAACATGTTTCATCTGCTACTAGAATATGAAGGTGTCCCATCCTTGCTTTAGTGAGCAATCTGCCCTGTACAGTTAACCAAACCACAAACCTGTGTTTTGGTTGAGCTAATGATGTGGTACCAGATCAACTCAGCAGTCTTCAATCTTTCCTGCTGCCCCAACATTGCATTGTAGGAGCTAGTGATCGAGTATTGCCCATTTGGTGTCAATCTGTATCTGCCCTGTATGTACCAATCTTGCATGGTTTCCTTTAGCGTATTTATCTTCCTCCAATACCAGCTGCAGTCTTGACGAGGTTTATGCATCCAAATGTTGGTGTTGGTCTTCATATAGATGGCATGCACCCATTTCACCCACAATGTATCTTTTTTCTCCGCCAATTGCCATAACAACTTTCCCGCTGATGCCATGTTCCAGCTCCGATAATTCTTGATATTCAGCCCACCATATTTCCTTGGCCTACACACTTTTTCCCAAGCAACTAATGAGTTCTTATTTGTTTCTTCTGTACCACCCCACAAATATTCCCTACACTTCCTATCACTTATTTAAGGATACTTTGAGGCAAGATGAAGGCAGAACCCCAGAAGCTGTGGACTGAAAATAAGACTGCGAGTATGGCTTGTAGTCTTCCAGCATATGATAGCTTCTTTGAATAAACAGTGGTGATCCTATTAGTGATTTTGTCCACTAATTGCTAACATTCCACCTTATTCCATTTCTTGGAAGATAAAGGCAAACCACGATACCTGATTAGAAAGGTGCCCTGCATAAATTATGTTATGTCCAGCAATTGATCTCTGGTTTGGTCATCAATCCCAGCCATAAAGATGCTTGACTTCGCCGTGTTTGTTACCAGCCCATATACATCACTGAAATGGGCCAAGGCTTCCATAACTCTTTTACAGAACTAGAATTTGCTTTGCAGAAGATCATAAGATCATCTGCAAATATTAAATGTGAGAGCTGAAGTTGTTTACACATTGGATGAAATGTAAAGTCTGGGAGACTACTCGTGCATTTTAGAACTCTTGACAAGGCCAAACAAGAGGGGAGACATAGGATCCCCCTGCCTAAGTCCTATTTTTCCTTCAAAGTAACCATGACCTTCCCCATTTACTTTGATGGTAAATGTGGGAGAAGTCACACATGTCATCACTGTGTGTATAAATCTTTCAGGAAAACCAAATCCTTTAGGACTCCCTCCAAGAATTCCCAACTTACCATGTCGTAGGCTTTCCTGAGATCAATTTTCATCAAACATCTTGGTGTGGTCTTCCTACCATAGTACCTCAACAAGTCATGGCATATCAAAACATTGTGTACCATGGATCTCCCTTGTACAAAAGCAGACTGGTTGTCATCCACAATTACAGTAATTGCCTCTTTGAGTCTACTACAAATCAACTTTGATATACCCTTATAGAGGACATTGCAACATGTTATAGGCCTATATTGACTTGCATTTTCAGGTACTGTAATCTTTGGAATCAAAGCTATATTTGTAGAGTTTATTTGTTTCAACAGTTTGCCATTCCAAAAGAATTCCAAAATAGCATCAGTGATGTCTTTCCCTACAATATCTCATGTTGCCTTATAAAATCCACTGCCATAACCATCAGGGCCTGGGCTCTTGTTCTGGTCAATTTGAAATATGGCATGTTTGACCTCCTTTTCAGTGTATGGCTCCAATAATTTCATCTGCTGTGTGGTCTCCAGCACTGGACCATTCCTCGGAATACTAGTAAATGCTTTAGTTCTTTGATTTTTCTTCCTCCCTAGTAGTTCCTTGTAGTAGTCCACAAATAGCTTCAAGCTATAATATCAGGACTAGTCTGCCAGTCGCTTGTTGCATCCTTCAATTAAGTAGTATTCTGCTTCAGTCTTCTATATTTGATCACTGAGTAAAAGTACTTAGTGTTGTCATCTCCAAATTTCACCCATGTGGCTTTGCTTTCCCGTTGCAAGTGCATCTCCGCCATGTATGAGGATTGCCTGAACTTGTTGTACTTCTCCTTCTCCAATTCCTGATAAGCTAAACTCAATGGATCTGAACGTACCAATTCATGTGCTTGCCTGAGAGCCTTCCTGTCCATTTCTGAGTCACTAAGGAAGTTTCTAAAGGCCTGCCTTTAACTCTCTTTTCAGAAGCTTCACTCTTCTAACAACTTGTAACATGTTGCACCCTTGAATCTGTACATTCCACCCTGCTTCTACCTTGTCTTTAAATTGAGGATGTGTGGACCAGACATTGCAGAATTGAAAAGATCTCTTAAACCTTGGCTTCTCATCTAGGAATGTGATCTTTACTGGACTATGATCACTTATACCTTCAGAGAGGACATTTGCTTTACTTGGTGTCATTGTATCTAACCACTCATTGTTGATGAAAACCCAGTCAATATTTGAAAAAAATCCTCTGTCCACTACTACTTCTGTCATTCCATGTGTACCTCTGCGCCACATGAGGAAGCTCGATCAGTCCACAGGTGTCTACACAGTGATGGAAGTCTACAATTTCTAGCCATGTTATTGGATTTCCTCCCACTGTATCATCTGGATTCAACACTGAGTTGAAGTCCCCTGCAATTATCCAGGGTTGATTGCATGCCGTGCTATAGTTCATTAGTATGTCCCATAGCTCCTTCCTGTCCTCTCGTGTGTTAAATGCATACACAAAAGATATGACAAAGTCCAGTTTCAAAGGGATGTTATGCACAGCACATGTAACAATATGAGTTGTTATTACCAATGGTACTACAATGTAGTAATCTAGTCTCCATGTAATCCATATTCTCCCATTGTAATGGGCTGCTAGATTAGTAATATGAGGCCAACCTCCAAACATTTTCCTGCCATAATGTCAAACTTGTTACTCATTATTTTTGTTTCTAGTACATTACTTCTTAGTTGCTTATCACTGTTGTTCAAATTACCTACATTAGTAACAATGCTGCTGGAACACTCTCTGTTAAGTACCTGAAATGTGTTTGAACTGACCACCTTCTGTTGCTGAGAGTATCCTGTTTGCTGCTGCTGCTTACCTTGGTTTCGTCCAGTTCTCCAGGGGGTAATCCGTACACTCTCCTTAGTTCCTTGTTTTGCCACATTTCCTTCATTTGTATTTGTTTCAGTCCGTCCCTTCACCAATGGTACATATTGAACTACATTCTCATCAATTATATCTTTCCCATTCTTCTCATGTGCTGCATTGTGCTGGCCCTTCTTGTTCCTGCAATTAATCTCATCATGCCCATATTTATCACAATACTTGCATAAGGTAGACTTCCAATCGTACACCACCTTCTGCTCCACCAAATTCCCTCTTTCATTCTTGAAAGTAACGGAGTCTAGATTTGCATTCATTTCCACCTCAACCAATAGTTTAGCAAAATTCAATCCAGACTTCCTCTCTGTATTTTCATCAACCATTAGTGGTTTCCCAATCAAACTTCCTATCTTACTCAAACCCTTAGGGCTCTAATATTTGAAATCAAGCCCAGAAAATTTTATCCAAATTGGTACTGTATACAACTCATCTCTTGTAAACTCCATTTCAGAGTTCCATGCTTTCACAATGAAGGGTTTGTTATCAAAATGATAAATTTCCCCCTGAATTACATCATTTTTCCCCACCTCAGAGTCAAAACGAACTAGGACAATTCCATTTTTTTGCATGGCAATTTTATTAATTCCATGCTTTGCCCACATCCATTGGATAAACCCCTGTAACACAGTAAACGGTGGGTGTGCACCTAGAACATAACACACCACTGTGTCTTCCAATACTCAATTTCAGAGCTAATATCCTCTAATTCGACGTCAATGATGGGCGACTCACCATGCAAGGAAGGAGCAACATACTCCAATTTGAATCCGGCATTTGATACCTTTGAAGTGTCAAAATTATCCCAAATCGATGGCTTCCTCACTGGGTCTACTCTTTCCTCTTCATCCACCATATCTGCCCATGATTTCCTCCCACTGCTTGTTGGAGTTTGACTACTAGCACTTGTTGAAGCTTGCACGACATTATTCCATAGTTTCTGAGCTTGCTCTTGGGACATCCGTTCACTCTCTTTCGATGAGTTACTGTTTCATTGATTTCCAATCCAATTCGAATCTCTTCCTGAATTGCTATAGCTGCCTTGTTCTTCTTCCCTCGTCCTGGTTGAGCCATAGCCTGAGCTTGAAGAGCTTTTTGCGATGGCATGCGTACTCTCTTACCCATGGCCGCCGCAGGTTAGTAAACATGCGCCGAGAGAAAATACATACTTGGTCAAGATACTAATAGTCTGTTTGGCCAAGCCGGAGAAATCTAACATATTTTAAGAAGCATTTTTTTTAAAAGTGCATTTGAAAAAAGTGGAGAGAAGGGTGTTTGGCTAATTACTCTGAAAAGTATCTTTCGAGCAATAATTTGTGTTTGGCCAAGCTTTTCAAAAAGTACTTTTAAGTATCAAATTACGAATAAGAACATGAATAGATTTACTTTATAGTTAATATTATAAGTAAATAAATAATCTCAAAATTTATTATTACATGCAATAATTAAATCTTTTCATTTTATTTAAGTAAAATATAAAAATAAAATTAAAAAGTACTTAATTCTTTTAATATAAGTTAAATATATTAAAAATCATTCAATAAATATAAAAGCATTCACCGCTAAAGTAACTATATATTAGAAAGCTATCCTAAAAATAAGAAGAAATATTTACACATTAATATCCTAAGTATTAGGTTTAATGGTTATTTTGGTATATACTATATTTTGTTAAGGGCATTTTTGGTAAGAAGAAAAGTCAAAACTGCTTCTGCTTCTGCTTTTGGGAAGAAGCTACTTTTTTCTACTTCTCAGAAACTGCTTCTGCTTCTTCCCAAAAGCACTTTTTTCCTAAAAAAAAGCTTGGCCAAACACCTCAAGTTAGGGAAAAAAATGCTTTCGGGAAAGAAAAGCACTTTTGGCCTCTTGAGAAGCTTGGCCAAACAGGCTATAAGACTTACATTGTATGGGAAGTCGACTATATTTACATCTAAGCCAGGATAGTAAATGTTACCTAAGGAATGTCAGATACATGATTTTTTTTCACAACATCTCTAAACCCAATTATAAACTGATAGATTACAAGTACTTTGGGCATAAGTACTTTTCTTTATATTTTGATGATCTAACAAACTTACCATCAAGAATCAGATAAGGAACCTATTATACATTTACAAGACCTTAAGATCACAAGGTTCCAGGTTGGGATCCAACGTGGGATATAACTCAACTCTTCAGAGTGGAAGGAACATCTGAGAGAACAGATCCCTACCAGTTCCCGAGGAGATTGTATGAAGTCAACTCTCCAGCTGGAAAGTTGCTGCCTGCACACGCTACTGTACAGGAACAGTACAGCAGTCAACTTTCTGTGGAAGGCTTTTTACCTACCTTGCTAACATCATTGTAAGTGATGTCACACATGTATAAATACAATCAAGGAAGGTAAAATAACTTGCTTCAGGAGAGAACAAGATAAGAAATATGATGCAATTAAGTTCCCTTGCATTTAGAATAACTAGTCAGATGTCTGGTTCAATTCTCAATGAAATCAGATAAAGAAACAGCAGAGGGACCAGATAGGGATCAGTTTCCCTCGTCATTGTACAGTCAACTCTACAGCTGTAAAAGCTGCTGCATTGTACCGTCTGGCAGGATGCTGCACTGTACCGTCTGGCAGCAGTACTGCAGCACAACTGTAGCTTGCTAAGGCCAAACTAAAGGGCACTTTATTGCATCATCCTTGATGACATCACACACACATATTTTCAATATGAGGCAAGGGATTTCATCTCTCCAACACTTGCAAAATCAAAAGAAAATATTCTCTCAAGTGCTAGCCACAACCTCTCTCAAGAATAAAGCTGCTGCAACCTCAAGGGCCAGATCCAAAGATTGAAGATATCTTAAGTCCTTAGGTTTGTTGAGTCTTTGTTATTTGTTCTTCATTTGTAACTCCTACTTAGCTTAGTTAGAAGCATTTTGTAGAAAAACGTTTGTAAATCATAAACCCTTGTGTTTGTGTCTTGGCTAGAGTTAGCCGAGTTGTGAAGTCTTTGTAATAAAGCTATTACAAAGTGGCTTGTAATAGTATTGTTACAAGTTAGTGAATGATTAAGTCTTTGTAATAGAGTTATTACAAAGTGGCTTGTAATAGTGTAGTTACAAGTTAGTGAGGGACTAAGAGATTAATTCCTAGGTTACAATAGGTTGTAATCTAAAGGTTGCTCAGAAGTGAAGTTGAAATCCTACAAGGTAGGTCGTGGTTTTTAATCCCGTTGAGGTGGGAGTTTTCCACGTAAAATTCCTCTGTGTTCTTTATTTACTGCCGATTTACTATGGGAACAAATAGAGAGTCTGATTCCCTATACTGACAGTCTGTTGCTTACAGTGGGAACTGATAGAAAATCGATTCTCTAAACAGTTTGGTAAACGCTTAGTTTCTATCATAAACTAGCCCAAAATACATGCATGACGTTGAGAAGAAAATAAAACATGCATAATGACGTTGAGAAGAAAATAAAACATGCCTAAAGAGTTGGTCTTGGTGATGTTAGATGCATAAAGTGTGACTTCAAAGAAGATCCTCTGGACATAACCTTTGGGCCCAAATACATGATTTCAGTTACACCCAATATCCTTAAAAATGGGTGGTCTTAATTTTTTTGGACCCCTGCTTGTGTAAACTTTTGAGGTCAAAAGTGTCGCGTATAGGGCAGTAAAAATTGTGTGGGGTAGCCACTTTTTAAAGTGGTATTTACTTTTTATCCAGTATTTTTAATGCTTAGCAATAATAGCCACTAGTCTATTAAAATTAATATGAAAAGACTGTGTTACCCTTTCTTCTATCTCTTTCATGTTAGGGAAAATCTCTTAGTTATCACAGCTCCATCTTGATGTACGCAAACAACTTAAATAACGACACCAACTGCAATGCTCGTTTGCCTTTGCACCTCTAAATAGCATCACTAATCCCACTGTGAATCTGTACGATTTGAGAGAAAAAGAGAAACAAAAGGAAAAAAGCAAAAGTTAGTGCAAGCCTTATTGAATGACTAGAATTTGAGTTATTATTGCAGTGAAATCAGATACAAGCAAGCAGCGGATTTGCCAATAAAGATTTTTAATTGGCAGAAACATAGACGCATTAAAATATCGTCTATTCGGTTTTGGGTCTGTCAAACCATTGACAGAGAGATCAATTACTTGCATGGTAGTACTGTTACTACACTTTACACCTTCCCATTTACAGCAATCACTTTTCTTATTATCAACCCAAGTGGAAAAACGGTTGTAATGAGTTTTAAGGGATGCTTTGATATGCAACACAGCAATTCTCTCTTCTTCCAAACAGGCTGAATTACCATTCACCAAACCAACAAAAACAAGCTCAAAAGTTAAGGACAATAGGTTCTGAACTTACAGTTACAAATTCAAAAATTAAGGACAATAGGTCCTGAAGTCCTGAACTTAGACTAACAAGCTCAAAAGTTAAGGTCAATAGGTCCTGAACTTAGGCTAAGAAGCCCAAAAGTTAAGGACAATAGGTCCTGAACTTAGACTAACAAGCTCAAAAGTTAACGACAATAGGTCCTGAACTTAGACTAACAAGCCCAAAAGTTAAGGACAATAGGTCCTGAACTTAGACTAACAAGCCCAAAAGTTAAGGACAATAGGTCCTGAACTTATACTAACAAGCTCAAAAGTTAAGGACACTTGGTCCTGAACATACAGTTACAAGTTCAAAAGTTAAGGACATGTAGTCCTGAAGTCCTGAAGTTAAGTTCAAAAGTTAAGGACATGTAGTCCTGAAGTCCTGAACTTAGAGTTAATAGCTCAAAAGTTAAGGACATGTAGTCCTGAAGTCCTGAAGTTAAGTTCAAAAGTTAAGGACATGAGCAGAAGGGTATTTTATCGTCCGGGCAGTTAAAGTTTATTAAAACAATGGCTAAAGACTAAAGACATTTTTAACAGTGGCTTAAAAATAAATACATGTGTTATTAGTGGCTAACCGTGCACTTCCCCCTATAGGGCATGCGATGGGGAAAACTTGTTAAATATGAAGTTCTGCCCATAAAACAAACGAGGTCAAAAAATCAATAGTGACAGCAAAGTGTCCTATTTGTGCAAATCACCCGTTTATGTTCTAGTGGAAGCGCTAGCCTTCTACAGACATTTTTTACCTCGCATAATTAATTCGTCTTCTAAACGCTTATTATTCAGAAAATATAAAGTATCTGCTTTTCATTTCAAGAAGTGCATGGTCATGGCCATAGCCCTGTCCGTTCGTCAAAGCTGTTATTGTTCCAGGGTCGATATATGTATTATGCAGAATGGTGATTTGATTCCTGTCCGGAATATGGCAGTGCAAAAGCTTACGCATAGGATA